TCTGTCCATCAGCAAGGAAACCAAGGCTTTCACAGAGCAAGCTCACCTAAGAGCCAAGATGGAGACCCAGCCTCTTCTTCCTCAACCTATACTGGCTGTGACAGTAGTGGCTCTGGAAACTGCCGTGAACCGTGGAGCCGGGTGCAAGTCTTCAATGCAGACAGAGATGCGGACCTCCACAGACAGGTGCACCAGCCCATCTGGGTCTACAGGTCATCTCTCTAGGGAAAGTCTCTCTGGCTTTGATGCTCTGTGGCAGTAGATGGAGCCCTGGAGCTGCCAACCTGGATCCTCCCTGCACCACCTCACTGGCAGGTGGAGCAATAGTGGACAGGTTTCTGCATGTCTTTTCTAAGGACAACCACAGAAACACAGCCTTCTTTATACTAGAGCACAAGGCAATAGAGTACAACCTGCGGGCCAATTCCAGCCCACTGTCTATTTTAGTTAATAAAGTTTTATTGGAACATGGCCATACCCATATGTTTATTATCATCTGTGGCTGCTTCAGTGCTACATGGAAGAATTGACTGTTGTGACAGAGACCACATGACCTGCAAGCCTGACATATTTTTTACTCTCTGGCCCTTTAAGAAAATAGCTCCCAATCCCTGATTTTGACTGCATAGCTCATAACATGGTGAGTATTTTCAACTGCCTACGCTGAGAAATCAATGATGATTTTGGAGGATGGAAGTCACATTTTAAGAGAGTTTAGGATGGTTATCCTGGCTCATTTCATAACATGTTTTATAATGTATGAGGTGAAGGCATTTCAGCAGACCTATCTTTATTTTTAGGGAGTGGTCTGCATTCTCTCACTGTTGTGGAAGCCTGGAGAACACTTAGTCTAAGGCATAACTTGAGTTAGGAAAACCAGTTTCCCCCAAACCTGAGAATAATACATTGAGACTGCTCTTTCTCACTATCTTCCTCCTAGGACCAGTGGGTGTCCTCAGTCCAGAAACCACTGCACAAGGGCTTTCTCCTTGATCAGCCTGCTTCCCTGTGCAGTGGTGGTAACTGTAGAGCTTCAAAGAGTTAAGGGGGTCATGCTCTTCTTACTGCCTGTTTCTTTGATCTGACTTAAATTCTTCCCCATCAACACTACTCCTATGCTCACCAAAGCACACAGACTAAACTCTGCTTGTAAGCACTCAACACAGTGGCCCCCAGCCATCTGTCTCAGATTCAAACAGCAAAGAGGGTGATTTGGTGGCTTTTCAAATCCACAAATTCTGGAGGAAACATGCTCTCTAACTTTGTCATGCAGCAAGCCCCACAGGTGCCAGGCAGACCAGCCTTTGGCGGTCTGGTGCACACTGAGCCCGGGCCTTCCACGCTCTCCTGGACCTCCAAGCTACTGGTTCATCAGAATTGCTCAGGCTGGACAGGGGGATTCCTGCCTTGCCTTATCAGAGGGTATGAGCACGCTCTGGTCTACTCTTGCCTCCCAATTAAATACTCATGTGGCTTCTGCCCCATTACAAAGCCAAGGTCAAATCCATTCCAACAAGACCAAGGGCACATACAAGTCCTACAAGGACACTGAGTGCCCTTGTACTTCATGTGCTTCAACAGAATAAAGAAATGTGGGCCATGTCTGGGGTGTGGAAGCACTTCAAGAAACGGAAGCTTTGGCTGGCGTGGGATTTCATGTAAGAAGTTCAGGCCCATAATGGGAACTGACCCTTTCTAGAAGCACCAATACATGCCCTCCAGCTGACTCCAAGAGGGTTCCTCCTGGGATCATCTGTAACACATCTGACAGGCAAAGGCACTGTCCTCTGTGGGGGATCCTCTGAAAGTTCATGCCCAAGCTCTCAACGTTGGCACATGCTATAGGGCTCTCCTACCCAACTGGCAGAGTCAGTCCCTCTCCTCGTTGTTTCTCTTCCACACCAGAGTCAGAAATGGATTGGCTAGGAATGGGCAGTATACAACTAGCCAGGACCCTGGGTCCATGACACCAAGGAATGTAGGACCAGAGTTTTATAAGTTAGGGAGCAGGCATGCAGACTTAGGGGGGCGCCTGGAAGTACAGCCTACAACATGAGTATCACCCACAGACAGGGTTAGAAGCTACCTTCTTGGACTCATCAGCATGTGTCAGAGGAACTGCTGGGCTCTGTGGAGAATCTACATGATTTGAACAAGGTTTTTACTGATGTTTCTTCAGACACTTTTATATACCACGAGAATAGAAACAAATGGACCTTAGCTTCTCCTGTAAGCCTGTTTCTAGGGGCATCAAAGTGGTGATTTGCATTTACTAACCAAACAAAATCAGACCCCAACCTCTCCTGAGATAAGATATATTGGAATAAGTCTTTGGTCTGGCAAAGCCCAGCTTCTTGAGAAAATCAGATATCAAGCTAGTGGTTCAGCTTGGAAATCCATATCTGCTTTGAGCAGAGAAGAAGGAATACACATTAGAAATATTTGATGGTTTGTGCCAATATCATTTCCACCTCTGCAAAGTCAAGCCAATGGGGGTCTGAAGTTTGCAATTATCATTTGTGCTTCTTGCAATGCGAGAAAGAAAGACTGTGAGAAAAAGGCCCCAAATGCCCATTTTGTAGCCCAGTGGGCTTAAGTTTTCCTCCCAGATAACAACTCTTAGAAATGATGAATATGCCTGGCCCTCCTGGGTACTGGACACCACAGCAGCCAGTAAGAAAATGAGAGGATTTTGATAATGGTGGCCAGATATGGGAGTGGGGGGAATGAGAACTGGACAGGGTCAGGCCCATCCTGCAGGCAAGAGGACAGTGCCTCTATCCCATGCCAAGCAAATACAAAGGCCAGGGAAGGGCTACCATGACCACTTCCATGCTAACACAAAAGGATGCAGAACTGAGGCCAACTGAAATGCAGAACACGTGCTCCCTAAACACAGGCAGTTTCTAGCCATTGTTCATTTGACCACCTTCTCTGAGTGCAAGGTAGAGCACTAGGATGCAGACCCTCAGATGGGAAAGCTACCCAGCCTGGGGGGTGCCACTCAGCCTGGCTGGCCTGAGGGTTCTCATGCCTCCTTTCGGGAGAGGGGCCACAACTTACATTCCAGGGCCTGTTGCCCAATGGCTCAAAAGTTGACTAAGCATGTTTTTTTTCACATATTACCTGGCAATGTCTGGGGAGTGTTGTGAGCTGCTGGTTTGGGAGGGGTGCAAAGTGCCTAAGAGCTGCAGCTCAGAGGGCAAGGCTGCCAGGACAGAGCAGGCTCCCTGAGGCTGCCTTCCCCTCCACCCTAGCACCGTGCAAAGGAACCACTGGGCAAGCTTCCTCAGAGGCAGGCAGCCTTCCTTCAGCATTGATAGGAAGATGGGAAAATTAATAGGAGTAATATGAGCTCATTTCAATAATAATGAGCCTATGAACATGCCAGGTTTTGATCTTTTCTGATGCATGCATTCCTGGCAGCAACTATAGTCCTACATAGGTATTCGAAAGAACTGAAATAGACTGTAAAAAAAATTCCCAAACACGAATAAAAGAGAATCCATCCCAATCACAAAGTTAAAACAACAATGAAAGAACAGAAAAAAACAAAACAAAAAAAACCATCAAGACTTAAACACATAGCTTCCCCAGAAGAAAGGAGAAAAAATTGGACTGACATAAAACCCTTTTCTCCTTCTTTTAAATATTGTTTTTAACAGCTTCAAAAGTAATGAATTGAATGCAGCTAAAAATAGATCTGGGGGTACTGGTTAATGGGGCCTTGTGAATCATTCAGCATAAAGAACTGTCAATATTTTTTTGAGCTGTCAGAAATCCATTTAGTGATTTTTGACAATTCAAAAAATATTTCTGATTGCTTGATCCAGTTCTTAGTGAATTAGAGAAGGAGAGGGAAAAAGAAATACATCAATTTAAATTATGAACCAAGTCCAGCTCCCTGAATTCTGCTCGGTGCTAAAAGGATTATCAGGGTTCTGAGATAAAGAAACGCTCCGTTCCATTTTCCTTCCTCTCTCCCTCCCTCTCTTCCTCCTTCCTACCTTCCTTCCTTTTTTCAACAGGTGACATAAAGTCACAGAAATCCATTCATAGATTAAAGATGGAAAGGAAACATGGTCATTTGTCTCTAGCAAGGCTATTTGGGGCTAGAAATAAAACACTGAGCTTTTATTCAAAGAAAGCTCTCAAATATGAATATCTGGGTACCAAGATGATGACTTTGATCCTCCTTGCCCACCCCTTGCCCTCCTTACTTTGGGGTAACCATATTCTTTAAGGAGGTAAAGAGGTACCAATTTGCTAACAAGATCAGGCAGGTCTAAATCCAAGACACACAGGATCACAACACTGCTAACAAGGGATTCACAATGTACATTTCTTGTTAGAACAATACACAGACAGGTGATGTGACAGACGGACAGAAGGCAAGAGTAGAAGGCCAAAGTCACAGTACTTGCCTTTTGGTGTGTCTAAAGGTGAGTCACAAACACCCTAAAAAGATCTTCCTATTTGGAGACAGGGCACCTTACTTCGACACTGTGGTTAGTGTGATGATTTTAATATCCTCTAAGTCAATATAAAGAAAAGTTTAAGAAAGCAGATTCGGCTTAGCAAAGCAGTAAGGAACTGTCTCAAGGCATCTTATTCATAAGTTGAAAATACTGAAAAGTTTGCAAGTTACCATGTCTCTTTTTGGTTTTGTTTTCATTTCTTAGATTTTTATTCCCCCTCAAATTATGGATTAAAAATAGAAGTAGTTCACACTGAGACACCACCCGTCTTTTCCATGCCTTCCATACAGGCATTGCAGATCATTATAATGTGAATTGGAACAGAAGATTATGAGTTCTAAAATGTCTAAATGAAATTGACTTTCAAGATTGTCTACATTGCATATACAGCAGTGTTGGGTTTTTTTTTAATGTATGGTTCAAAATTTGCTAAAGGATAAGTCTACCCCATTTTTTTAAAATGCACAATTCAGCATTGATGTTTTGGGAAACGAACTAAAGGAAGAGGATTCTAAAACTTACCACACAAGTCTGGCCTCTTGATACATCCAGAATTTGCTGTGCTACTTGCAAGTCCGTTAAAGGCTGCTAAGCCATCAGAACTGTAGGCCCTCAGGACCGACAGCATGTTCATTGGCTTCTCCAGGCCCTGCGGCATGCGCTCCGGCTTGGACAGACCTGCATCCTGGGCTGGAAGAAGGCCTGAGCTGTGCCACTGCTTCTCCGATGCCTGCGGTAGAGGTGGAACTAGTCCCTGGATGGGCTGAGGGGCACCCGTGGGCAGCAGGCTGTCCCCACCATCGCTGCCTCCGTCCTTGCTGAGGGCCGACTTTGCCTTGATCACCATCTCAGGCTCTGTCTCGATATCCTCTTCGTTGTTGTTTTCTCCCTTGGAGGAGCCCATGTCCTCCGAGGAGGCAATGTCAGAGAGGTCATCAGCAGTGTTCTTGTTTGTGGTTTCGGGGATCAGGATTGGGGCATCATCTTCCGAGTGGGCCTTCCCCTCAGGCTCCTTGTTGGGGCAGGAACTGGAGGCCCCCGAGCCTGCTATTCCTGGGTAAACGCCAAACTGCTTGTAGAAGTCTGATGGGAAGTTACAAAACGAGGTGTCCACAAGGCTCGGCCATGTGCCACTCTTCTGCTCCCCCAGAGTCTCTTTCACCTGTCCTTGGGCCATCTTCTCAGCAGAGTCTAGAGGCCCGGTCACGTTGGAAAGCGCCATCTCCTTGTTTGATTGTACTGAGGACAGCAGGGCCATTTTACTACTCGCCTCCCGGGCTAGTTCCTTGCAGTTGACTGTCACCCCAACAGCATTGTCCTTGCGCTTTGCTTTGCCCAGGTGATTAGCCTGCAGATGAAGGGCCATCAGCTCCATCGACGACGTCGTGAAAGCACAGAACAAGCAGCCGTGCCAGGCAACGCTGTCCTGCACGGTCACCGACGCACCTGGGAGGGAGGCGGCATCCGGCCGCACTGACAAGTCCAGAGGCTCGTACTGGGACTTCTCCGACTTCCTGGGGGCCGCCTTACCGCCAGCTTTCTCCTCACCACCCTCCGCCCCCTGGGCTTTCATGGAAGGAGGGTCAGACAGGGCTTTGTCCTTCGTGTCCTTCTCCTTCTTCAAGGAGCTTAAGACAAAGCTGTCCATGAAAGCTTGCAAGGACCCTTGAAAATTCACACCGTTGCTCACAATACTTTGATAAGCTCTTCCAATTTCGGAGAAGTGGGTGCTTTTGGAAGGGAGGTCAGTGCCTTTCAGTGGGTCTGAAGGAGCCTCAGAAGACATGCCAGGGGCCTGCCCCGAGTGGTCTCCGGAAGAGAGCACTCCCGCTGTCCACTGCTGAGAGGCAGGGCCACCTCTGAAGTCGATTCCAGGGAGACCCTTAAAGGCCCCCCTCAGAATGTCCGGCCTGATAAACAAAGTGGCTTTGTTGGACAGCTCATCCCTGTGGTCCTGGTTTGCAGGCTGTCCAGACAGTGGCCCGGCTCCATTCTGTCGCTCCCGGTGATGCCGTTCTAAGTGGTATTTTAAGGATGCTGACTGGGTGCCCGCATAATCACAGTGGGGACACTTGTAGGGTTTCTCACCTGCAAGATGCGGGTACAAGCAGAAAAAAAAAGTGTTTATCTCATTTTGGTGTGCTGAACAAGGCTAGAAGGATCAACATTTGTTCTTGGAAACAAAGCAGCTCAAACTAATAATTAGTTAGAGAACAACTGTTTTTTAATAGAAGAATAATTCGTACTCTTAAGCTTTTTTAATGATTTTGTACCATTTGGGACTATTCAGGAATGACATACTATCTACACACAATTAGCTATCTTTTTCTTTATCTAACATGTGAAAAGGGCTGTAGATTTAAAAGCTATGATTATGAAAATTAAGCATAATAATTTCAACCACAGTGATCATTAAAAGTAGAAGTTTAAAAAGACAAAGTATGTAACAAATGGGTGGTTGCAATATTTTGTGTATACAATAGCTCTAAAATTTGTTTAAATTATACACATGGAAACCATTTTTAAACCTAAAAATTTTATGGCACTGTTACGCAAGACTGAAATGAATGATTTAAGTCTTGCTCTGCAGTAAATCATGGATATAATTAGCAAATGGCATACTGCACAAGTAATTTATCATTATTTGGAGGGCACCATTCCAGACGGGCTCAGATATCTGCAGACCTACTGCATTGTTTCTAAATAAAGAACTATAAATACCGATTCTATAAAATATTAATACCATTACAGTGCATTATGATTGCAGCATGTAAAGACATATAGTTAAGATAAAAAGCAGTCAATAAAACTTAAAAGAAAATGAGTAATAAAAAGGCACAAAATATATTTAGTTTCTGTATTTGAAATTAACATTATCTACTGGTCTTTGTAGTGCCTTAAATTTGTACTAATGGCAAACCTAATGCTCCAGTAGTAAAATGTGTAATTTACCTATAATAAGCGCTTTCTAGAGAATAAAAATAACTTTAAAGAGTGTTTTAAAACATATAAGATCATTTTCATGAATTAAATATTTATTTAAACTCAACACCCAACTTCTATTGTTCTTTCTACCATGGAAAAGATACCATAACTTAGACCTGCCCACACTGTGGGATAGAGGAAGAGAGAGAGGAGGGTAAACAAATGTGGATTTAAATATATCCCAAGAATTTCTTAGCAATCCAAGGTTTTTTTCAGACTTTGGAATCAAAAAGCTCTCTGGAAGGGATGGGACTGCCACAGTCTCCTTTAGCTTATTCACAATAGCACCCTGTCAATATCCACAATTACTTCTCTAAGGAAACTCAGTATCTCCCACCCCTTCCTCTGTTCTATTATAAAACAGATTGATGTAAAAAGCAAAAACAAATCATTGGTGAACGGTGTATTCTGAAGGCATTTTACCATGTCTAGTCTCAGTTGACACTGTGACTCCCATTCTCCAAGCACAGGGTATCTGGGCAGAGGAGAAGTCCTCAACTTGGTCAACAAAGAGGACCACCAGGCTCCAAGCAGGCAACTCCAAGTCATCTTGATCATGTACCGAAACTTGGGATAAACTATGCCTGCCTCTGCCAAATGGTGGCTCTGTGCTTCTCATTCACTCCTATAAGCAACTGAAGGTCTCCCCTGGACACACCAGAGGTGGACTTTAGATCTGGGAAATGGGCCCAGCTGGGGATCTGTTTCTCTAAGTGAAAAAGTCACCCTGTATCTGGTTAGACCAATGATGTAGATCTAGCAGGCAGACTCTATTCCCTTTGAGGTTAAGGTACAAATGGCTTCAGACACCCTTTTCCCACTCCCTGGAGTCAGTCCTTGTGTTGGGCTGATTCACTTCAGCCACTGCTACTTGGATGTCCATCCCACTGGAGGCTAGGGAGCCCTCAGGGGGACAGGTGCTGTGGACAGGGCTCTTCTGGGCCAGCCTGGAAGTCCAGTGGCCAGTTGGAGCAGAGGTAGCCTCTGAAACTGAGGGGGTGGCAGTAGGCTTCTGACAGGAGATCCCAACTGGGAACTCAGGCTCCTGGGTCCAGGTTAGCAGGAACCTTTGAGGAGGCCTTGTAATCAGAGATGGCAGAGGTGAGGCCTGCAGGTATGGGGTGAGACTCACGTTGCATTTTAGAAACACACCTGGAAATGATTAAGTGCATCTGGCAAAGGGTTTGTAGAGAATGCGTGGGCATTCATTAGCAGGAGCTACAGAGGGCAATTGCAGACTTTGCCTCCAGAACTGGGTATGGTGCGGGCTGCCTTTCCCAGTGGGGACCACAGAGGATGTGTATGTATTGCCAAGGGACACACATTTGAAATGCACACAGGAGCCGTGGTTCTCAAACTGTACTGTGCATTAGAATCACCAGGGGAGTTTAAGAAGCCAGTTCTGGGACCCAATGCATAGTATTTCTGATTCCTTATGTCTGGGGTGGAGGTCAGGTAGGGGTATTTTTGCCAAGTGTCCCTGGTGATTCTGATACTGTGTAAAGATTACTCTTTGAAAAACTAAAGTGAAACTGCCTGGGGAGTTTTTTAAAATGCTGTACATTTTCCCACCTCCACTTCCAGAAATTCCAAGTTATTGGGCCCAGGATGTAGCCTGGGCTTTGGGGTCTTTCAAAGCCCCCCACATGGAGCATGGGTGGAGAAGCACTGTACTGAGCCTCCCTGGCAAGTCCCCTTGTAGCTAGGTACTGTGGATGGCTTAGCAGGGAAGTAGTCTGGAGCCTAGGTGTCTGCAGAATTTGAACTAGGGACTAGAGACCCCATGCTATACTGCACTCCGCTGTTCACAGGTTTCCCATCTTGGAGCCTTGGCTTCCTCAACCCATAATGTGGGAAACTGGAGCACTTCCTGTTCTCTAAGGTCTCATGTCAACTCAAAAACTGATGTCAAGTCTCCCAAATGGGGCCAGAGACTCACATGTACATACATGTGTGCACCTATACACCCAAGGATGTGCAGATTCACTTACACACATCTTTTGATTGAATGAGCCTATGGCTGAATGAGCCCTTCTGACTCCCCAAGTAGGGAAGGGAACTGAATGAGGAACCAAAGAGACAAGCCCCCTGCTCTCATGGCTTTCAGAGGAGACGTGTCAAACAGTTACTAAAGCAAGTAGCATTCATACACAAGCACACACACACATACACACACACCACTCACACACATATCACATCGCCATACACCACACATATATCCCACACCTACACCCACACCACTCATATTCACCACACCCACAAACACACACACACACACACACACAATGGAGGAGAAGATCTCTTCACTCAACCCACTGTTCTTTTAAAGCTCAAAATAGGTCTTGGCCTCCAATACTCCAGGGAGGAAAAAGAACAGTTTATCCTTAGCATTTGAGTCTCCAAGGGTCTAGGCCCTGGTGAATCAGGAGTTACTCAGTGAGTCTGCAAGGGTTATTTTGACTGCACAAGATATACACAGGCTTCAGAAAGCCCTCCTCTGCCCTCCATGCATGCCTACAGAAAACCCTCCTGCTGTTTCTCCGAGTGGTCCCACCTCCTGCCTATTCCTAAAAGGCTTTGTTTGGGAGACTGCTCCCTCTCACCCAATTCACCAGATTAAAGCTCCAGAGTAAAGTTCCAGGGCATAAACTCATCCCTCTGGATTTCAGTTTTAAAAAATAAACCAAAAATGATTTTATTTTCTTTATAATCCCTAAGTGATCTGAATAACCACTGTTTCCCTCTGCCCAGAAGCCCTTCCTCACCTTTCCTGGCTTTCACCTCCACGAGAGGGTACAGGGAATGCTTGAGACCACAGCCAGCACCACAGGCTGGGCAAACCCTGAGACGGAGTCTGGGGTGGGCATGCCCCTGGGAAAATCCTGGGGCAGCCCAAGAGTCTCATTTTCCACTGGAAACATCCCAGCTGTTTCCCAAGATTTCCCCTCCCAAGGGCACATTTCAGAGTGCTTGGGAGGCAAACATCTCACAGAACTGGCTCCCCTGGGAAGGGAAAACCTGTCAGCAGGTTTAGCAGGCCCCAAAGTTCAGGCCAGCTCTTCTCTTTGGCAGACAGAGCCCCCATGCCGACAGCTGCTTCACAGTCGGAGTCACCGCATCTGGCCACAGGCTTTGGCCTGAGCATTCTGGGCTGAGTGTCACAAAGCCCCAGGCTTCCACAAGGGAGCAAGCCAGTAGCTGCCCAGCCCTCTCCCACCCAGGACCAGAATGCCAGAGACTTGGAAAGGTGTTCCCTGTGCAGCCTCACGGCACGGGCAACCCCAGACCCTGCCAGCAGCTCTGTCTACTTGAATGATTGGCCACTTAGGCCATAAATTAGTCCAAATCTACTAGGAGGATCACTCAGATTGCCCCAAGCTTTCAAGGGGCCATGAGTCCTCAGATCACCTCTATGTTTGCGATCCGCCTTGCATCCGCCTCTTGTAGGAGCCACAAGCTCAGATGCCTGCAGAGGCAGGCAGACCATAGGGTGTGCAAAGCAGTGGGATGGGGGCCTAATGCCTCTTCCAGGGGCAGCGGCCACCTACCCCAACCAGGTCTAGACACAAGGACCTCTGACACTCTACAGAAAAGCCTCACACCCAGAGTTCTACATGCAATATCCTGGCTTTTAAATACTGGCACTACTCAAAACTTTTTCAGACACAGAGAGGGCCACAGCATTCTATTCTTCAGATTGGGTCTAGACCTGACAGCCAGTTTGAAACTTGTGTCTGGAACAAGAATGTCCGGTATTGGGTCATTCCCCTACTAAAGGAAGCAGGTAAGGATGCTGGTGGTCTTCTGTAGGGAAACCTCTCACTAGGGTAAAGGAATAAGATGCGGACTCAAACAATGAATTTCTAGACAAGAGAGTTTTGCAAGAAAAGGTACATTAAAATACTAATCCAATTATTGGAACGACAGGACATATATTCAACTTTGGAATGACATTGATAACTTCTCCAAGTCATATTACAAATTTTTAGAAATAAATGACCACATGGCTCACTGTACTTACGTTGTCACAGTCATGTCCTTCATCTTTCTGAACTTCCACCTTGCACTTGATATGTCAAAGGAACCCTCACTTTCCTGGGGAGTTATTTAGGTGCTATTGAAAGCAAAAAACCACTCCAAAAATAACAGGTGGATTCCTATTTTTCTCTTCAGAAACCCCCTTATCAAGCTTTTGAGAAGTGCTTCACGCTTCTAACATTTTGCGTATATGTGCTAAATCTCCAAAAGTGTTTTTACTTTTAAGTTGAGTAACTGAGTATTTTCCTGTACTTGCATCCTCTATTTGATATTTATTTAGTCTTTCTACATGTCTTTACTTAGTTAATACCATGAGAGATAAATATGGTAGTGCCTTTGCAGCGAAGCTTCAGTACATTAATATAAATTGTACACTAATTCCCCCAAAGCATATATATGTTGTAAACCTGAAGACTTTTCACACAGCTGCTTATTGCTAAACAGTGCCTTGTCCAGAAGGGGACAATCTGTGTCTCTAATTGCTGTCACTGAAGCCGAGATTCATTATGTGACTTTCCCATTAAAATGTGAGCATTAATTTGTATAATGAAATATCGCCCACTGCAGTGTTCATTAGCCATGCCCTACTGTATACGGTACATTGTTAGCTACCTAGAAACTGTAGTTAATTTCACTAATGGATATTTCCCTACTTAGTGTTTGGTAGGAAATTTATACTGTAACATTACCTCTTAAACTTTTAAGGAAATTTAAATTCAATCAATTATTTTCAACAAAAGTTTGGGATGTCATTAAGGCAGGAAGAGCAAGGATAGGGGACTATGGGAATAAAATGGGCTTTTAGTTCAACTTAAAAAAATGATGGAATTTCAATTCAAAACAAAAAGGGAAAAAAAGAATCATCTCCTCCTGGGTAAGCAGATCTTACAGTTTTTTCATCTTTACAAAGGTGGCTGTCCTGCACTAAGGACAACACACACGCTGCCCTATTAGAAAAGGAAACAAGGAAACGGGAATGGCACACATTTTAACCAATCTGTATTTGCAAATTTATTCAATATGCTTTTACAAATGTTGAAATAGCCTGGTTCCCTTACCTAGAAGAGGAATTATCAAAGGTAAGGTATGTGCACATCAGACGTAAGACACCTCGCTCAGACCGGCTAAACGTTCACTTCCACCCACATCTACATGCCAGTTGGCGCTTGGGAAGCTCTTCGAAGCTGAAAGGCAGTTTCCAGAGCCACGTGTGAAATGTATCACCTCATGATGTCAACAAGTAATTCCACCTCAGCTTCCATGCCAGGGTCAGGGTGCCGCCCTGCCACAGGAACCACTTCCCTGCCTCACCACCTCCCTAACTGCATTGTGCTGCTGGGGAAACTGAGGCACGCGGGATCAAGGAGGCCTGGCCTCAGGCCAGTCTGAGTTTGGGGTGAAGCAGAAGCCAGGGCGCACAGTACTTCCCTTTCAAATCGCCGGGAGGCTGCATCAACACACCTTGGGGGCACAAGCCACTTCCTTTCCTCCCGCTGGTTACGGTGTGGACACACACTGTCAAAGAAATGTTGCATTAATTCCCTAAAACAAGCCATAGGTTCACCCAGAAAAGTACAAATATCAACACAATGCAGTGGTTAAGAGAATGAGGTTTCTGAATTAGGCAGACCTGGATTAGCACCTGTCATTGGTGGTGGGCAACTCCTACTGGGTAACGTCATGCCTCTGGGGCTCAGTTCCCTCCTGCAACCAGGAGAGGGGGGAGCCCGGTGTCTAAGGTGCTGGAGGAGTAAGGAGTGAGTTCAGGCACAGCAGAGCACCCCACACATGAGTGAGCAGAAGTGGTCGTTGCCATTATCTTTACTGTCATTCTTACATGATCCCCACTGGCTGAATTTCCCTGTGGTCAGCCCATTGCTGTCATCCTGTGTAGACATAGCCTCAGTCACGAGGCAAGTCAACTCACAGTTCTCCCCGCCTTGCACAGGGCATGTTGCTTTTTGGGGGTGCTGCAAAAGAGTTGCTCTCTCACTTCCACAATTCTCCCTGGTCCTATCAGGAAAGACAAGCCTGGTGCCTGGTGCCAAGAATGCAGGCAAGAGCCTAGGGAAACACCCCTGTGTCCCCTCTGCCAGTGCCCAAGGGCTGTATCACAGAGGTACCCACCCAGGAGGAGTAGGCAGTGCGGGGCACATCCCCAGGCCACACTGATATGGCTGAGACCCCTGAAAAACCACTTCCCTGTGTGAATCCAGTCTCATAATGAGGTTCCCAACTCAGGGCTGGGCCAGTGCATGTAGCACATGAAAATCAGATTAGTAAACCTCTTGCATAATTTGAGAGGGGAAAAAAAACTGAGATTTATTTTTAATTAGTCCCTGAACTTTCGTGTCTCCAAGTTTTCATGAGTGAGCTTGCTTATTACATTTCTCTATAGTGGTCATTCCTAGACAAGAGGCAGCTCCTGGGAAACCCCACACACAGGTGAGCCACCCAAGGGGACCCAGACTGGGGTCCCACAGCCAATGCCTGCGGTGTCACACCATTCTGGGGTTTGGTAGGCAGCACTCACCCCTCCAGCCTCGCAGGGACTGGCCAACACTTCCTACCTCCTGTACACAAACAGAAACACTGGATGCTGGAGCATAATCCCCACAGTGGGGCTGGAGGAAGAGGCAGAGGGGGAAAGACGGAGTGCATTTTCAGGAAGCCAATAACAAAATAATTGGCTATGTCAGGGGAAACCTAGGGGATGGGCACCTCTGACTCCCACTGCAGGTTATGACTGAATGTTTGCTGATGTGTCTCTGTGATGACCAATTTTATCGTCAACTGCATGGACCACATGGTGCCCAGCTATTATTCTGGGTGTGTCTGTGATGGTATTTCTGGAGAAGATTATTATCTGAATTTGTAGACTGAGTAAAGCAGATCGCCCTCTCCAGTATGGCCACATCCAATCCACTGGAGGCCTGAATGAAACAAAAGGCTGAGTAAAGTAGTCACTCTCTCTGTCTCACTGCCTTTACCTAACTCTGGACTGGGACTGGGACTTACACCATTGGCTCTCCTGGGTCTCCGGTTTGCCAAGTGCAGATTTGGGAACTTCTTAGCCTTCCTAATTAAGTGAGCCAATTCCTTATAATAAATTTATAAAGATATAGATAGATTAGATAACATATATATAGATATATAGATACACACACACACATACGCACAAACACTGTTTCTCTGGAGAACCCTAACTGATCCAATCTCCTTTCTGAGCCTGCACAGACTAGTTCTGGATTTGAATCATCAGCAGTGCGTTCTACAAGGCAAAGTGCACATGTCCAGTGACTGGGTTCTAATCAGCCCAAGGAAATGTTTCAAACAGGGGACAAGTTTAGCCTCCCTGGGTGAGCAGCAATCTATATTTGCTTTGCAGGTGCCAGAGTGGGGTGGCTTCTAGGACCTGAGGGTCACTGGGGACTCCTGGAGTCTTCCAGGTGCTTCCCCTCAGTCCCAGATTAATCTGCCTGTAGCTCAGGGAGCAGCAGAAACATTCTAGCTACCTGCAGGCTCTCTCCAGCCCCTAGGTGTTCGGAACAACCTGACTGGCGCACCTACGCGGCACCTCTCCAATAAGCAGGTGTTGGGAGAAGAGCAGCAATTGAGTTAATGTAGTAGAGTTAAAAATGGGAAGTGGTTTTTATCAGTTGATGTGATATAATCAAGACATCTCATAAAAATGGAGTAGGATAGAAAAATATACAGAACATACTACGGCATATCTTGACCAATTAAAAAAATTTTTTATACATTGGAGTTTTAAATGTGCTCATCTGGTTCTAGTACAGAAAAACTTGAAAAGAGGGCATTTTGGAAAACATATATTCTAGTTCATAGACTGCTGTCCTCTGGCCATGCCACTTGGAAAAACAAAAACACATAGAAAAGGGGAAGGACCTCTCCACAATTGGAGCCCTGTATTAATTCATTATTAACAAATAGCTTTATTTTGATTTTTAATTATTTGTGTAACCTTCACTTTTACATTGTCATAATGGACGTTTATTTTAGTGATTTATAACATGTAACACTTTCTTTTCTATTCAAATGTATAAGTGTAAGCATTTTCCAACTTCTTTGTTCTTTGATAAAAAGGAAATAGATCTTTATCTGGTTACCATTCTGCCTTTTGAACACTGCAAATGCTGTTTCCGACAGGGGCTGGCGGTGTGATGTTTCCATGGCTTCTTCCATTTTCTCCTCTATTCTGGGAAGTTTCCAGAGTGCCTCTGTCCATGGCCCTCTCTTGCTGCTTCTATCTGTGTCTCCAAAGACTACTGGTCACAAACCTCAGGAGTTTGTGAAGCAGTATTTGGGGGCAAATAACTTTCTCAAGCTTTAAAACTTCAAAAATCAGCATCCGTTTGCTTCTACCCAAGTCCAGCAGGACTTCTGCCAGCTTTGGTCCTAATTTACCTGGAATATTCTGTGGAGTGTTAACTGTTATCCATGGGCCAGCTAATGGGGGTCAGGGCCCAGTGAGTCAGTAGAGTGTCTGGTTGGGAGGTGCTGCCCCTTTCTTTCCCAGACTTCCTGGCAGGACCTACCTCCCCTGTGGTTAGCCGCCACAGACCTGGCTAGCTTGGCGCAGGGGCCCAGGTCTTCATCAAATAAAAAGGCCTATCACAGGACACACCTGGCCAGCTCTCTATCCTCCTGTGGACAGCCCATGGTGGGTGCCCTGGTGGGCTGCTTCCCTCATAATGGCAGTCTGTGGGGCCCACCCAACCACCACCATACCACAACAGGGCCCTCAACCTGGGGAGGAAAGTGGACATTGTAATGAATGGAGGAAGCCAGACTTCTAAGCTGCCTCAACCTGAGGTTGAACCCTGGAAGACCTCACTGACAAGGGGACATTGGTGCCAGATTCTGAACATGAGGGAGCAAGCCAATATGCCTGTCTGGCAGAGAGGTGCAAAGACCCTGAGGCAGGGACTCAGGGACCCCTCACTGAGCTCCTAGGGAGGTGGGGCATCTGCACCCAGGAACCCGGCCCTTATAGCCTGGCTGCCACACTGTGGTTTCCCATGGGTTCACATATACAGGTCTCCTTTCCAAAAGGATCACGAGTTCCCTGGGGCAGGGTCGATGTTCCCCACCAACTGTCCCCTCCTTATCACCTGGCACAGTGCAGAGTCAGGAGGTAGATCGCTCACTTAGTCTCAAATGTGTCCTGTAATTAATCTTTCAAATAAATGTATTGTGCCCCTTCTATATAGAGTGTGTTCTTGTGGGTCTTGGAGTTCCAGAAATTATATCAATTAAAAAGACGGCCCATACTGCCACCCTCACATTCTACTTGGTGGTAGACAGAACAACGCATAGGGAAATAAACAGCCGAACTAAGATAATTCCAGAATGTTTTAAGTTGATAACTAAAGCAGGGAGCATGAGGGACATTTTAGGGTGGTCAGGCATGGTCTCTCTGAAGAGATCACATTGAAGCTAAGTCGCCAGTGACCCCCTGGAGGAAGGTCGTTCCAGATGGAGGGAACAGAGGTCCTGCACAGAGGTCCTGCAGCAGGAGCAAGCACTCTGCCCCAGAGGGACAGGAAGAAGGCACTGGTGCTGGAAAGGATGATGGGGCTGGAGAAGGTGCAGGAGGGGCAGTTCTCACAGGCCTGGGGGCAGGGTGGAGCCTGGCAGAGTTTGAGAAAAGCCCTCTTTACCCCGGGATGGCACTGTGAAAGACTGGCATGGGGACAGGGAGGGACAGTGCAAAGCTCAGCTGTGCCCCAGGCTAAGGATAAAGGCAGCAGCCCACAGCCCAGTGCCACCTGTGCTCAGGGCCCCCTTCGTGTCAGGGAGATTTGCAGGAACCAGGTGAGGTTCCAGGTGAGGGGCTCCTCGTTTTTAACCACACACTGCACACCAGGCTCATATGCACTAAATATCCTGCACAACCCTGAGCTTTATTGATTCCTTGGGAAATAGACCACAATTATTTTTGAAAATAGATGGCATATTTGTCTATCCTCTGAAGCAGCTCATACTCCAATAGATAAAGTGCCAGGAGAAAAATCAAAGAAAATGGAGGTGTCCATATCTCAGATAGATTTTCTTTTTTGGAATTAGCATTGCTCAAACAACCAGCAAAAGAGCTAAAAAGAACCATGATGGAGGGACAAGAAGGAGAGACCAAGAGAAGTCCTCACTGCAGGAGATGCTGAAGCCAGAGAAATGAATGGAGTGATCCAGTAGCTGTTCCCTGGTTTGGTTAAGAGCACCACAATTTCTCTTTTGAGGACACCCAGGGAAGAGCCAGCTCTCTTCTATTCCTTACAGTGTGAGGGGCTGACACCATCTGCCCAGTCCCAGGCAGGGACATGGAACCCCAGCCCAGCCAAGTGCCAGCCCACCTGAACATTAAGGAGAGCTGCCACACCCCCTTTCACGTCTGGAGTTTGAGCTGGGATCTCATCATTTGCACCTCAAAGACTCCTGATCAATACAAGGGTGTGAACAATGCTTCCTCAGTACAGCAGAAGGAAGCCAGCAGCAGACCCTCCTGACGTCTCAGACAAAGCATCATCATCCCAGACCTGGACCACAGGAGACCAATGTCCCCACACCCATGTGCCACTTGGGAGGGTGATTGTGAAGTAAAAGTCAGGACATCAGGGTCAATTGGACCCACATAGTGCTATACGAGAGGCCCATGGAGGGCTTGACAATGTTAGTAACCAACACAGTGCAGACATGGGGCAGAAGCGTGGCTGTCCCGGGCCTCCTCTTCGGGAGTCATGCACCTGGACGCACCCGGTTCTCTCACCTGTGTGTATCCTCAGGTGCACCTTTAGGTGATGGGATGTCCGGAAGGTTTTCCCACAGTAGGGGCAGTCCTTCATGGCCGAGCCCAGGCTCCTGTCGCGAAGCAGAGCCGGCTGCTGGACGCCGGCAGATCTCCCAGCTTCCTCGCCGATGTCTGCAGCGGAGGAGAAACGTTCTCACATCACTTCAGCACATGTCAGAAGTTGTTCACACCAAAACTGCTAACACCACACAAAGTTAAACATGTCAATACTACACCTGTCTATTTCATTCTTTAAATCTGACAGAATGCTGACAATTCATGTATTTTCTTGTTATTCTCTTAAATTATTTCATCTTTCCTATCATCATTTTAAGCAGCATATGGTACCTTTATATTGAACTGAATTAAACAAGAAAAGAAACAGCTGTGTCAGCAGCTGGTTTGATTTCTTCTTTTGCTTAGCTCCTATTAAATATTCTTTTTCCAAAAGTTTAAAAATTCAACAAAAGTGTTTGTTGAATCTGATTAATTTATAATATGGGCTAGCTGAAGAGTTTGCTATAGGATCAAAATCATATTTGCATTGTATCAGGCAACAAATGAAAAAGAAATGTGTTTTGGCTGAGCCCCTAAGACATGCAGACATACAGCTATTTTGGGACAGGAAAGAAAATTATCCAAAACTGATCATTTCTTCCTTGCAGTCTTGTATCCATTGCTGGCTGGTGTAATCTCATGAAATGGAGAAGAAAAAGTATGGAAATGCAGTTCCACAATTAGCCCATGATAAACATATAGTGACATATTTGAAGTCATGTGCAGAAACTCAGCTGCAAAACTCCCATAAACTTAGAGAACTGCAGTTAAATCTTTGTGCAGTGACTTGAGAACTTCCTCTGTAAAGTATCAATACAAATTTTCCTTCCTGCTTTTATTTGTTATGTAACCCAGACCATTAGAAAATTACATAAAATTTACATACGGCTGCCTTCTGCAGATGATGGGACATAATAGTATATAAAACTGCGAAAATATCTAGTGGTTGGAGGATATGTTACTGCAACACCCAAGGCTTGACATCACATTGCCAGAGAGGCAACATCAGAGTGGCAGGGCAGGTGCTGGGAATCTGCCTTTCCAACGAGACCAGGAGGCATGTGGGCCTTGTCCTCTGGCCTGCCCACAGAAATGGAGGCTGAGTGCCTGGCACAGAACCTGAGGCTGGCAGGGCCCTCACTGCAGTTTCCAGCCCACCCTCTAGACCTCATGGTAGATCCACTATTAGAACAAGAAGACTTTCTGGGATTCTAAGCAGACCTGTGAGTTCTGCAGAAAGCAAAATAAATAAGATTTGTACCTTCCAAGCAATGGAAAATGCAAATTGCTTTTATTCTGCTACATCCACCCCTGGTGTTGCTTGCTAACAGCCAAAAGGGACAAACTTACAGGCCGTGAATGAGATGAAGGCAACTGCATTTATTTCTTATTTGGATGTTTGCTCAGAGTAACTGTGGAAACCCTTTGGCTTTAAGCATCTTCTCTGTGATGCTTTGGACTGTGCATGATGATTTTGCCACCCCGGAAAAGTTCTTTGAAGCCTCACTTTTAATCCTATTCTCAACTTTTTGAGACATCCTTGGAAGAGCTGTTCAAAGGGTATGACTGCCCAGAGTTCTTTTTCTTTGTTATTTTTCACAGGTAGGTGGGCTGGGCTCACCACACCTAGAACACACCTCCTACCCAGTGCTAGCTTTGTGGTCACCCACATGACTGTGGAGAGGCTACTACCAAAGATGGTAATGGAAAAGACAAACAGGCCCAGGAGGGTGTTGTAATGTCATAGCAAATAATTGCCCCACATGCAGTCAGAGCAGGTGCTCCAGATCCCACAGGTTGAGTTCACCAGTGGCTGCCACCACGTCTGTTTTAAAGAGCCATTCTGCTAACAGCCCAGGAGACAAACAGCCAGATGTCAGTTCCGAGTTACCCACATCCCAGGTTTGAGCAGCTGGAATACCATCTCATACCCACCTTCCCACTCCCACCCACTGCAACCCGACATGTTGTATTTACCCTCCCAGCCTTACTCTGCTTTCCTTTGTGGCATCATGAGGTCAGCTTAAACAGCAATGAGAATGATTGTAACTCTGCCCAAGTGTTCCCTGCCACAGGCTCAAGGTACCCTCTTTCAGTTAGAAGGCCAACAGCTGACAATTTGAATTATAAGTGCCCTGGATGTTGGCTTCAGTATGGAGGCAGGCAGATGTGGACTTCTGGTGTTAGATTCCTGGGGTCCTCATGTTCCATGATCTGCACATTAGCACCTTCCCCCAAATTTTCCTCCAGCAGAGCCATTTTTAAGTAGTAGTAAGGTGGAGCTCTCCAATAGAACAGAATGGAAAATGTGCAGAGGACATATTTCCACTGCAGCTTTTGGTGAGTCCTTGCCAGGGCACATTACAGATAAATAAATAGACAAAGCCAATGCACTGCTCTGGAACGTTCCATGGAAGCTGAGGATGCATGTCATTCTAAGTGATAGCCTTGTCCTCTGGCCTGCCCACAGAAATGGAGGCTGAGTGCCTGGCACAGAACCTGAGGCTGGCAGGGCCCTCACTGCAGTTTCCAGCCCACCCTCTAGACCTCATGGTAGATCCACTATTAGAACAAGAAGACTTTCTGGGATTCTAAGCAGACCTGTGAGTTCTGCAGAAAGCAAAATAAATAAGATTTGTACCTTCCAAGCAATGGAAAATGCAAATTGCTTTTATTCTGCTACATCCACCCCTGGTGTTGCTTGCTAACAGCCAAAAGGGACAAACTTACAGGCCGTGAATGAGATGAAGGCAACTGCATTTATTTCTTATTTGGATGTTTGCTCAGAGTAACTGTGGAAACCCTTTGGCTTTAAGCATCTTCTCTGTGATGCTTTGGACTGTGCATGATGATTTTGCCACCCCGGAAAAGTTCTTTGAAGCCTCACTTTTAATCCTATTCTCAACTTTTTGAGACATCCTTGGAAGAGCTGTTCAAAGGGTATGACTGCCCAGAGTTCTTTTTCTTTGTTATTTTTCACAGGTAGGTGGGCTGGGCTCACCACACCTAGAACACACCTCCTACCCAGTGCTAGCTTTGTGGTCACCCACATGACTGTGGAGAGGCTACTACCAAAGATGGTAATGGAAAAGACAAACAGGCCCAGGAGGGTGTTGTAATGTCATAGCAAATAATTGCCCCACATGCAGTCAGAGCAGGTGCTCCAGATCCCACAGGTTGAGTTCACCAGTGGCTGCCACCACGTCTGTTTTAAAGAGCCATTCTGCTAACAGCCCAGGAGACAAACAGCCAGATGTCAGTTCCGAGTTACCCACATCCCAGGTTTGAGCAGCTGGAATACCATCTCATACCCACCTTCCCACTCCCACCCACTGCAACCCGACATGTTGTATTTGCCCTCCCAGCCTTACTCTGCTTTCCTTTGTGGCATCATGAGGTCAGCTTAAACAGCAATGAGAATGATTGTAACTCTGCCCAAGTGTTCCCTGCCACAGGCTCAAGGTACCCTCTTTCAGTTAGAAGGCCAACAGCTGACAATTTGAATTATAAGTGCCCTGGATGTTGGCTTCAGTATGGAGGCAGGCAGATGTGGACTTCTGGTGTTAGATTCCTGGGGTCCTCATGTTCCATGATCTGCACATTAGCACCTTCCCCCAAATTTTCCTCCAGCAGAGCCATTTTTAAGTAGTAGTAAGGTGGAGCTCTCCAATAGAACAGAATGGAAAATGTGCAGAGGACATATTTCCACTGCAGCTTTTGGTGAGTCCTTGCCAGGGCACATTACAGATAAATAAATAGACAAAGCCAATGCACTGCTCTGGAACGTTCCATGGAAGCTGAGGATGCATGTCATTCTAAGTGATGGCCTTTATCTGTTTTCTTTTTATCTCTCTATCTTGGATATGTGTGGCCCAATAAAAAGAATAAATTTGTAAGACAAACAGCTTTCCTTGTAGATTTAAGAGTCTAATTTTCACTTTACACAGGAATGGGTTTTTCTGGGGAGGCCAGAAGGCCTATGGCGTTTACTCTTAGACTAACCCAACTGGAAAAATAAACTCTGAGCAATGATGAAGGGGAATTGTGGGTGGTCCCAGGAAGGGCTGAGAGGGGCTGGAAGCCAACAGCAGTGATGGCTGAAGAAGCTCCAGCTGAGCCACACACTCACAGACCTGTGTGAATCCACACCTACGTCTGGACGAGCAACATGTAGCACTGTGCTAACTTCAGCCCAGCCCTGTAGAGAACCCAAAAGCCTCACTCAGAGGGAAAGACATGGCTGCCTTCTAATCCCTTCTCCACCGAGAGTGCAGAAGCAGTGAGAGTGTCCTGTGGGGCTGCTCATGATGGCATCCTGAGGTTTTGCCTGCCCTCACACACAGATGGCCAGTGAAGCGGTCACTGGTCCTGGTTACAGTCAGACAGTGCCTGCCTCAGCCCCTCTAGGAAACAGGTGGTAGAAAGGAGGAAGCACTATAAAAATCACATCTGGGATCCTTTGTCAGACCGTCTGTGAGTTGGTTTTAGCTTTTATTAAAATCTCCGTTTTCTACAACCTGCAATAATTCTTCCCTCCGATCAGACACTTTCTGTAAGAGTCGCAGGTTGACTGAGGGTGGGTGTGTGAAGGCCGATGTCTGCTCCTTCTCACTCATTTGTGAGAGGGACAGTCCTGCTGGCTCAGAGGCTGGGATGTCCCTGGGATCTGGCTGCAGGCTGAGAGGCCATCTCCTTTCAAACAGCCTCAGCCTGCGTGTGCTCTGGGCTTCATATGATGGGGAAATGGCTAAGAAATAACCCCTAGGATTCCTATTTCTTTTCTTGACTCTACTAAATAATATGAGATCTATTCTTCAGAAATGGATGTCTTGTATGAATGCAGTGAATAATATTCCAGAGGGATACAGGCTTTGTATGTAATGTAACCCTTTCAGAGTTGCAGTCTAGAACAAATAAATTGTACTAGGTATAAAGACTCTACAAGGTCTCCCCTAGTCCTATAAGCTGAGAGTGGTTTGCTAAAAAAACAAGATGGACCCAATCATTGTAAGTTGTATTTCAAGAATACATTATTGTGGGTGATAAGGGGACCTCAGACAACTCACTTTCCTAAT